TGAGGCAGTATCACTATGGAAGTAGATTGCCCCATCTTCCTTCTGAGGAGTGGCTGGTGGGTTTGAACTGCCAGCCTTCTGGTTAGCAGTCAAGTGACTTAGGCACTAGGCTACCAGAGCTCCTACAAATAGTAATAGTAGACAATAAACCACCCACTGCCATGGAACCCATTCTGACTCATAGCCACCCAGCACCACACAGTAGAACTGTCCCAAAGGGTTTCTAAGACTGTAATCTTCACAGAAGCCAAATGCCACATCTTTCTCCGTCAGAGTGACTTGTAGATCTGATCCAATGACATTCTGGTTAGCAGCCAAACACTGAGCCACCAGGGCTCCAAATGGCAGATGAAAGTTGTATTTTTAACAAGCTTGCTGGCAAAATAAAGAATTGGCAAACTTCATTCAGATCACAGATTTCCTAGGAAATGTTATTGCTGCATAAATCCAAAGAACTACAGTATAGTATCTTTAATTATAAAAGTATTATGTCAAACCAAAAAACCCAAACCCACTGTCATTGAGTCAATTCTGACTCACAGCAACCCTACAGGACAGAGAAAAATTGCCCCTTATCTTTACCACATCTTTATCCCAAAGTGGCTGGTGGATCTGAACTGCTAACCTTTTGGTTGGCAGTCAAGCTCTTAACCACTGTGCCACCAAGGCTCCTATTATTATTGTTCTATTAAATAGATCTTTAGTACAACATATGTTACACCAACTACATGAGAAAATATTTCCAAGTAACATAGTTAACAGAATAGTTTCAGGAATATTTTGAAAATTAATAAAATTTGGAGAGAATTACATATTCAAATTCAACCGATACTTACTGATCACCTATTGTGGACGCTAGACATTTTCTCATTTGATTCGCAACTTTAACTCACAAAAAAATACATTTATACTCAGGCTCAGGGAAGCTCATGTTCCAAGATCACAGTGCTAGTATAACAAAGCCAAGATTTCAACCTAGGTGCCTTGAGTCCAACTTCAGTACTCTTTAACCACAGCTGTTTTCATTAACTTGGAAAAAAAGTTTTTAACTGAACATAAAACTGGAGAGGATGTCCAGGGAGTAATGTTTAGTGGTATGATATGGGGGAATGGAAATATTTCTGAATCAGTTGAAAATGGTAAGAGCTGAGGGGAAAAAATGTGATATGCCTCATATAACCTGTTCCACTCACACATCCAAGAATGCTTTAATAAATCATTTGAAAGATCTTTCATCAATCATCCACTAGATGTCTATCTGTTTTCACACGTTTCTAGCTTGTTCCCACATACCAATGTCCTCTATAGAGTGTCCAACATAGCCCCAGGAGAGCTTCATTTTCTCTTTTCCATTCTGACTTCACCACCATCTTAATTCACTGACCAGTGCCCGACTCTTTCACAAGGGTTTGCTGTTGCTCTCAGTCTACTAATTGGCTTATTACTGGGTTAATGAAGAATTGTTTATGCATCTTAATTGCCTGATTCTTTGATTTACTAGCATTAAAATGTCTCTGGTAGCATAGTGGCTAAGACACTTGCCTGCTAACCAGACGGCTGGCGGTTCAAACCCACCAGCCACTCCTCGGAAGGAAGGTTGGGCAATCCTACTTCCGTAGTGATACTGCCTCGGAAACCCAAGGAGGGGTCGCTATGAGTCGGGGCCGACTCGACGGCACATAACAACAACAACAACAAAATGTCTATAAAGGTAGGACTAGGTCTAACCTGTTGACAATTGTGACCTCCGTCCAAATCCCAGTGCCAGGGACTTGTTATATACCGTTGAGTCGGACTCGACCCATAGCGACTACTCCTTGGGTTTCCGAGGCAGTATCACTACGGAAGTAGATTGCCCAACCTGCCTTGCGAGGAGTGGCTGGTGGGTTTGAACCGCCAGCCTTCTGGTTAGCAGTCAAGTGCCTCAGGCACTATGCTACCAGAGCTCCAGCCAGGGACTTAGGAAAGCACAAAAATATTTGTAGAATAAAACAAGCTCTCACGTTTCACAGTGGCATACATCTTTGCTTTAAGCCAAAGACTTGATTGAAAAGGAGGATTTTTTTTTTTTTTTTTTGATAGTGCCTAGTAACCGGGTCTGAAGTCCTTCAAATAATGTTTGGGCAAGTGAGAAGCCCCCTATTTTGATGATACTCTAACACCAGGGTTGAAATTTTCAACTTCATCTTAAAGTGACATCTTGCTCCTTTTTTCAAACAAATGACATAATTCAAAACCAAGTACAAAACAAAAAGAGGAAGAGCTCCTGAACTGTTCGTCAGAGAAACACCCAAGTCTTCACATAAAACAAACAAAAGAAACTCCCACTGCCATCCAGTCGATTCTGATTCTTAGCGACCCCCATAGGGTTTTCCTAGGCTGTAAATCTTTACGGCAGCTGACTGCCTCATCTTTCTCCCGCAGAGCAGCTGGTGGGTTCCAACCGACCTTTTGGTTTGCAGCCCACTGCCTAAACCACAGCGCCACCAGAGCTCCTTAAATCTTCATGAAAAGGCCAAACTCAAAAAGTTGGGAAAACTGTATAAACTCCTGTGACACCTTTCCTCTTCAAATTCTCTTTCACAGACCCAATGCCTACGGAATCCTCGAGCAGTCTCAGAAGGCTGATTGATTATTCCCTGGGGGCCGGCGTTACAACCCGGGTCACTTTACCCGTGCTCAGCTCTGCCCCCACTAAGACATCCCAAACTTCAGCCCCAGCCGGGACAGCCCTTGCGGCCAGTGCTAAAAGTCTCCGATGCCTTCGGAGACCACAGCTGTTAACGAGCTAAGTCCCCAAACCAAAGCCCAGTTCCTTGCCCTCTTCCTAGTGGGCAAGCTTTCCTTTTCCTCCCTGACCCTCCGTAATCCCAAAACCATAATAACCAAATCCACTGCCACAGAGTCGATACCAACTCATAGAGACGCTATAGGCAATAGCAGAGCTGTTCTATAGGTGTTCAAAGGCTATAAATCTGCGGAAGCACGGCCTCAAGTTTCTCCCGCATAGCGGCTGGTAGGCTCGAACCGCCGATCTTTCGGGTAGCAGCCGAACGCCGTATCCATAATCCCAAAATCCTCAGTATCTGTTAACACTTTTGCCCCAAAAAGGGAGTGGTGACTAACCAGGGAAAGCAGTGGGGCGGTAGTTTGAAGATTTCGCCTAAACCCCATCTAGACCTAGAACCTCCCTGGTAGTCCCGCGGGGAAGGGACAGGTAAGGCGTCCCACCAGGCCCTTGGCACCCCTCCCCTAGCCTAGAGCGCCTGAGGGACCGGTCTTCCTCTCCCTACTGCTCCCACGCCAGCACCACCGTACGAAGAAGAGTGTCTCCCTGCCAAGTGCCCGGATGTTCCCTCCCTTCCGCTCTGTCCCGCACCCGTATCGCGGCTCCGCCCCCCTTGCGGCCCTGCGTGCCACGTCACCGCTTGCGGCACTTCCGGAGGCGCAGCAGGCGATGACGTAAGGGGACGTGCCCTCTATATGAGGTTGGGGAGCGGCTGAGTCGGCCTTTTCCGCCCGCTCCCCCCTCCCCCCGAGCGCCGCTCCGGCTGGACCGCGCTCGCTCTGAGCTCCGGGATCTTGCTAAGGTAGCGCCGCCGCCGTCGTCTCCCCCTAGCCGCCATCATGATTATCTACCGGGACCTCATCAGCCGTGAGTCCTTGCTGCGCTGCCCCTACTGCCGCGCTCAGGGAGCCGGGGGCGGGAAAGAGGAAGGGGGCTGCCGTCGTCAGCTTAGGCTCGGGGACGCCGACGGCGAGCAAGAGTCAGTGGCAGGGGCAAGCGCGGGGTCTCGAGCGCCTGGGGAGTGGCGGGGGCCGTGTGCGGCAGGCGGGGGAAATGGCGGCTCCGGGCCTCCGCGACCGGGCGCCCAGTGACGAGAGGGTCTGTATCCCCGAGCAGATGATGAGATGTTCTCCGACATTTACAAGATTCGGGAGATCGCAGACGGGCTGTGCCTGGAGGTGGAGGGGAAGGTGAGTCGTCCGGGCCGTCGCGCGGGGGAGGCAAGGCCGGGCAGGCTCGAGTTTCCGCCGCTCCCCCGCCCGAGGTTGTGCAATCCTCTCCGCCACCTCCTGGCGGAGGAGACGCTTTTTCCGGGCTTCGGTTTTTCTAGAAAAGTGGAGGCGGAGCTGAACCTGAAAATAGGTCCGAGGCCGCGGTGCCCAAACTCCCAGCGGTTCTGGACATGAGGTCTCCGGTTTTGGAGCGCAAGTCCTTCACGTTTGCCCTCTCCGTAATTGCTTATCTTCCCTCACGTGCTAGAGAGTACCCAACCGGAAACAACTGATAGTTGTCAGAGACAAGGATTTAGTTTTTATTGAGTTGAAATGTTTCAAGAAGTCTGTTTTTTCCCCAGAAAAGATGTAGTTTTTAACAGGAACCAAGAATGGTCAGTGACATATGCGTTAAGTGAGTGTATACGAGGATTTTTGGATTCATTTATACAGAAGTTAAGAACAGCGTTTGCAACTAAAATCCTTTTCCTTAATGCAGATGGTCAGTAGGACAGAGGGTAACATTGATGATTCGCTCATTGGTGGAAATGCCTCAGCTGAAGGCCCCGATGGTGAAGGAACTGAAAGCACAGTAGTCACTGGTGTCGATATTGTCATGAACCATCACTTGCAGGAAACTAGCTTCACAAAAGAAGCCTACAAGAAGTACATCAAAGATTACATGAAATCGTAAGTGATGTTGCAACACAAACTGATGTCTCTGGATTCTTAAAATTGAGAGTTTAGGGTTTAGCTCATTTTTGAGGTTCTTGAGCTTATGGACAAGGGTGGTTGGTCTTCTGTAAACTGTATGTGAGCATACTGGAGCGTGTGGTCGGCTTCAGGTCTTTAAATTGAATAGTGCTTTGAAGATAGTTGATAGGGAAATCATAATTGTAAACAGTCCTTCTGTGAACTAGAAATTTTTTGGATGTGACAAGCCATTGAAGGAAGATAGCTAGTTACTGTTTGCAGTGTTGGAGAATTTACTTTGTTTTAATTAGAATTTTAATTTAATTTGGGTGTTGTGTGGAATCTTAAGGGGGGAAAAATGTGACTTTGCTCAGGAGTCAACACTTTAACCTATTATAAAATACTGTTTTAGAATCAAATGCAAACTTGAAGAACAGAAACCAGAAAGAGTAAAACCTTTTATGACAGGGGCTGCAGAACAAATCAAGCACATCCTTGCTAATTTCAAAAACTACCAGGTAAATAACTTAAACATTTGGATCAAAAGAGTATACAGTTTTAACTGAGAAATAAATTACTTCATGAATCTTTTTGGCGTAATTAAATTGCTGTCATGTTACCCACTGTTGAATGTTGTGTTTTGTTTTGAGATACATAGGTAGCTTCTCAGACTCACAGGTTGTTCAGGCTATAGAAAGTAGCTCTCTTGGCTCCCAAGTACTTCCAGGTCCAGTCTTCTGATTGAAGGTTCTCATCCCTTCTTGCTTCCCAGATGATGTCTATCCATTCTTCTGTTCTTAGTTTGCTTATTAACTTGCTATGGAGTCTTCCAGTTTCCCTTCTTTTTTTTTTTTTTTTTTTTAAAAAAAAAAAAAAAATGATTCCAATGTCACTGTCCTGAGCATTCTGACACATCTTGAGTTTTGAGTTTTATTTAGAAACCTTCAATGGGTTCCCATAACTTTTTAAGATTTAAAAAACAAAAACCTGATTCTTTTATTTTCTAGCCTTCAGGCATTGGTCATAAAATACTTTTTCATATAATATGTTATGTCATTGGCAGGTATATAATGTTTCCTGTACTTGATTGTGTAAACAGGCTTGTATGGTTTGGAATTGTATATATGGGTTGAGAGTTAAACAGTTGACAGAAGTTCTAAACTGTCCTGGATTGCTCTGTATTCTTACTTTCGTAATGTTTTAATCAGATGAACCTATCTTTGATTAGTGGGAATAAGTTTTTAGTTGCTGGTATTTTCTTGATTGAAATTTTCACTGTTGTGAATCATCCTTTATTTGTTGTATTACAGTTTACGAGGTTTGTCTTGGTGTGATGCAGACCTAAATGTAATAATCTAATTCTCTGTATTTGTTTGCTTCCCAAGTTCTTTATTGGTGAAAACATGAATCCAGATGGTATGGTTGCTCTGCTGGACTACCGTGAGGATGGTGTGACTCCATATATGATTTTCTTTAAGGATGGTTTAGAAATGGAGAAATGTGTAAGTATGAGGAAATTAGTCAAAATTGGTAACATGAAAATGGAGATCTTTTAGGTGTGAGTGATGGTTTCATGCCACTGGGATAGTTAGAAAGGATTCTATAGTAGTCTGTTTTGACATATGGATCTAGTTTTCTCTTGCTTGGAGGGGGGAGGGTTGTCAAGTAGGAGTTATGTTTCACATGTTTTAAGAGCTTAGAGCTTAGAAACTACAGAAAACCTTGACGGTAGATGACTGTAAAGCACAGTTTGAATAATGACCTGGAGAGGGTGGACAGTGTATGCACCGATGTCAATCTTCCCAATAGAAATGGCCTGTTGAAATCATACTGCTTTCCTCTTCGTATTTTGCCACACATGGCACCAGTTTCAAAACTTCACTTAGGTTTACTGATCATTGGCAACATTAAGGTTTTAATCAGGTAAATACAATTAGAGCTAACTATACTGAACCAGCACAGAAATTGATTTATTAAAATGCAATCACTCACTGAATATCCGCTGTGCAGGGACCTGCTGTGTGTAGAACAGAAATTAAGGCATTTGTTATCCTAGCTTACATTTATAAATTAGCTGCAGGATAAAAACTTGTAAGGATATGCTGGACAAGATTTTGAGGCAACAAAAGTTTTATGTGATATTACACGATGACTTGTCAAAGGGGCGATGCAGGCAGTATCTGAGGTTTTTGTTGGTAGAGGAGAGGGTAGCTGGAACTTGCTCAGGAGACTGGGGAGGAAGATGCTGCCTCTGACTTGGTAAGGATGTTTTGCATCCACTGATAGACCTTGAACAATTAGCTGTTGTTCTTTTGGTTTGCACTAGGATGCGAAAGAAGAACTCCCTGCGCTTTCTGTCTGTCTTTGTGGCAGCCCGGATTGAATGAGGGAATACATCTGCAGCCTAGAAAAGTTTAGTACTTTTCACATTGGAAAAATGTTAATACAATCTTCCTTGTTTTTACAGTAACAGTTTGGCAGTTGTTTGGATCTATCACCTGTCATCCTACCTGGCTGCTGCTTTTCATCCACACAACACCAGGACTTAGACAAATGGGACTGATGTCATCTTGAGCTCTTCATTTATTTTGACCTTGATTTATTTGGAGCGGAGGCATTTTTTTTTTTTTTTCTTAAGGAAAAAAAACATGTTGTGTAGGTTGTCTAAAAATAAAATACATTTAAACTCACTTGAGAGAATGCCTCTTAGTTGAATATGTTAAAACTAAATTCATCCTGTAGTGTTCCTGGAGAAGCTAGAGCCAGGTTGTAGATCACTACAGCACTATAATGTGTGAGACTGTCTTCAGATAACTTCTACCGTTAAACTACTACTGGGACTGGAATATAAAAACAAGAATCAAAAGTCTTAATTCTGAATTGAAGTAAAGGGGACAGATCATGCTCATAGCAGTGCCAACACTTGAAGTGGATCCTTAATTTCATCACCTACAAATGGAAGTAGTTAACTCTGGAAGAGATTACCAAAAGAATAAAAAGAGACTAATACAATTGGAAGCTAAGTATTGTCTGAGCTTATTTGTCATAAATGGAGTAGACCCAAGTTCTGTAGAAATCTGCACATCTGGAGTGAGAATGTGTTGCTTTCTGGCGTTGAGGGGATGGTAACTAAGGCAGGGGTGGGCAAATTGGCCTAACCTGTCACCTGTTTTTGTATGACTTGTGAGCTAAGATGGTTTTTATGTTTTTAATGATTGAAAAAAATCACAGTGCCTTAAACATGAAAATTTCTATGTTTCATTGGTACACGGCCATGCTCGTTTGTTTATGGATTAACTGGGGCTGCTTTCTCACTACAAGAGTGGTTGGGACAGGCTGTAGGGCCTGCAGAGCCCAAAATAATGATCACAGCCTTTTATAGCAAGGTTTGTCAGCGTCAGCTTTAGAAGATGAGATTGTAGATGACATCTGGGATGCCTGGTGGGCAAAGGAGAAAGATGGCATTAGAGTGAGGATATGAAAATGCATCTATTTGACAGGCCTGGAGCAGTTACTGTCTGCTGCTAAGGTTTCCACTACAGATGCAAGAAAAAAGTTCCTTGCGCTTTCTGTCTGCCTGCTTGTGGCAGCCAAGATTGAATAGGGGAATACAGAGATTACTAAATGGAAGAGGGGAGGGAAGTCAGAAAACCCTGTAAATATACCAATTACTTCACAAAATCAAACTCACTGCCATCAAGTCGATTCCAACTCAACAGTGATCCTCTTTGGGTTTCCAAGGTGGTAAATCTTTATGGACGTAGGTTGCCTAGTCTTGCTTCTATGGAGTGGCCGGTGGGTTTGAACCACCAATCTGGTTAACAGGTGTGTTAGGCAAGGATCTTAAAATTTTGAGTTTATGCATGAAGTGCTAGAAGATGATTTCTCCCACACCCTTCCCCTCCTGGGAAAGCTGGTGAGTCTTCCCTTTGGTCCCATGCCAGTTATGTGAATATGGGTGAGTTCAGTGACTTGGCATTCTGGAATTTGCCCTTCTGGCTTCAAAGTCCGTATGTACTTGGCCTGGAAGCTTGATTGAGCAGATCATAGTAGAACAGTATTGACAGGTTTTACTTAGATGAGAATCTTAAAAAACGTATAAGATTTTGCTTTCTAGACAAGTGTAGTCTAACGATTGACAGAATAATGATTGTTTTCACCCTGTTTATGTTCTAAAGTTACTAACAGGAAAGTCCCTGAAAACCTTTTGGAAAACATGCTGTGGGCTTAGTTTATATTACTGCAGCCAGTCTACCAGACCACTGCTGAGCATTTGCTTTATTTTCCTGAGTTGTAAGACAATTTTTAAAAAGTACCCAAGATAAAAAGTTAAAAACCTTAAAGCTGGGGACACAGAAAACTCAGCCCTTCTAACTGGAATCTTGTCTCAACTTTGACATGGAATGGAGAAAACATGTATTCAACAAAAACATTTAATCTACCCACTGCTGGTTTGGTGACCCTTTAGAACAGAGTAGAGCACCTCCCACCAGCCATTCCTTCAGAAGGAAGGTTGGGCAATCTACTTCTGTAGTGATATTGCCTTGGAAACCCAAGGAGGGGTCATTATGAATTGGGTCCAGGCACATAACAGCAGAGCACCTCCCATAGGGTTTCCAAGGCTAAATCTTTACAGAAGCAGACTGATGTGCGTTCAAACCAGCGACATTTACAGTATCAGCTAAATGCTTTAACCACTGCTACCAGAGCACCTAGATTTACACTCAAAACCAAACCCACTGCTATCAAGTCAGTTCTGACTCAAAGTAACCTTTTAAGACAGACTGCCCATAGGGTTTCCAAGGCTGTAAATCTATGGGAGTGGACTGCCTTAGCCTCCTAGGGAGCAACTGGTGGGTTCGAATTACTGACCTTTTTGGTTTTAACATCAAAAGAAAGCCCAAACCTCACTGCCATCAAGCTGATTCCAATTCATACCCACCCCCCTGTGTTTCTAGGGCTATAAATCTTTATAGAGGCAGACTCCCCTCTTCTGTAGAGCAGCTGGTGGATCCAAAGCACTGATCTTTTGGTTAGCAGTCAAATCTCTTAACCACTACACCACCAGAACTCCACTAAATCAAACCAACTGCCATTGAGTTGTTCTGACTCAATGACCCCCGTTGGGTTTCCAAGGTGGTAAATCTACAGAAGATTGCCTCATCTTGTGCAGAGTGGCTGGTGGGTTTGAACTGCCAACCTGACTAGCAGCCAGATAACCTTAGGCACTGCACCACCGGAGCTCTGCTGTCAGGTGCTGCTGATTTGTCGCTGACTCGGCGACCCCATGTACAACAGAACGAAACTGTCCAGTCCTGTGCCAACCTCATGATTCCTGCTATATACCTGAACCCATCGTTGCAGCCACTGTGTCAATCCGTCTTGTTGAGGGCCTTCCCCTTCTTCCTTTACCTTCCACCTTACCGAGCATGACACCCTTCTCCAGGGAATGGTTCCTTCTGACAACATGACCAGAGTAGGTGAGACAAAGTCTGGCCATTCTCGCTTCCGAGGAGCATTCTAGCTGCACTTCCTCCAGGACAGTGTAATCTAAAACTTCAAGCACATACTTAGGTTTGTAGTGCCCTCTGGGGACCAGTGGAAGCAAAATCAACCCCTGTACCAACAGGAAGAGAATTTTCATGTATGGCACCAATACTGTAAACGGGGGTAGCTGGGAATGGACTTAGTGGGTGACATCAAAGTGAAACCTGATTAGTAAGCCAGCCATGGAAAGATCTAGAGGAAAAGCAGGTAGGATTAGCAAAAGCTGTGGGGGAGATGGACTGGCCACTTTGTCCTTAAGATTTTTCAAGTCTACAGGAAAGCTGAAACAAGTTCGTATTTAAACTCCCCCGTTATCTCCAAAATGTTTGTTGTAGCTGTACTTGGGAGAGTCCAGGCCAGTTGTCTGAAAATGTTCCTTATTCTGGATTTTTTTTTTTTTTTTTTTTTCTCACTTTCCACAGTCAGGTTCAGACATTTGGATAAGATGCATACTTCCTGTTAATCTCATCAGGAAGTATATGTCAGTTTGTTCCATTAATAAGTTTGATGCAGGCATGTTCCTAGTGACCTATGGAGAGCAATCTAGTGAAGCACGAGGGAAGGCTTTTACAGTGCCTCAAAATCCAAACTTGGTACCATCGAGTCAATTCCAATTCATAGTGACTACTGTTGGGCTTCCAAGGCTATAAAATTTTACAGAAGTAGACTGTCTCATTTTCTTTCCACAGAGCGGCTGGTGGGTTTGAACCATGAACCTTTTTGGTTAGTAGCCAAATGCTTTAGCCACCACACCACTAGAGCTGCTGGGTTTGTTTTGTTTTATTTTTCTTTTTCTCCCCACAGTGTCTCAAAAGCAAAATATGCTGCCATCTACTGGCAGTCTCACGTGTGTCAGTACAACTGTGTGTGTGTTAACATCAGTTTCTGTAGGTCGGCATTCCAGGTCTGGCTTTAAGGGTGCCTCTGGCTCAGGAGTTGCCATTGAGTTGAGCCACTCCTCGGAAGGAAGGCTGAACAATCTACTTCCATAGTGATACTGCCTTGGAAACCCAAGGAGGGATCGCTATGAGTCAGGGCTGACTCGACGGCAAATAACTGGCTCAGGAGTTACCATTGAGTTGATTCCAACTCAGCAATAGTATAGGACGGAGTAGAACTGCTCTATTGGGTATCCAAGGCTGTAAATCTTTATGGAAACAGACTAACATCTTTCCCCTACAGAGTACCTGGTGGGTTCAAACCACCAACTTTTCGGTTAGTAGACAAGTGCTTAATCCCTGCGCCACCAGTGCTCCTCTATAGGGTTTTCAATGACTTTTGTCCTGAGTTAACCTTTGAGTGGACTCAAACCAATTTAGTAGCAGCCAAGTGTGTTAATCTTTTACACCACGTGGGAGCACTTTGAGTGACATGATTGGATTAAAAAAATCGCTGCTGGGTTGAAAATACAGCATGAGGTATGGGGAGGCTAGCAAGTTGAAAAACAAAGAATAATGTACATTTTTAGGCAAGACATGACAGTGACTTAGAGTGTAGCTGAAGAGGTGTCTGGGAATGAAGTTCGAGACTTGGATTTGCTGCTGGCTTGGATGAGGTGTATGAGAAAATGGATCTAAGGATGATGCCAAGGGTTTTGGCCTGAGCTACTGGAAGAAAGGAGCGACAGAGGGTGGGAAATTTAGAGTTGGGTTTTAGATGGGTTAAATTTGAAATGCACATATTTGAATGACATTGGATAAGCAATTGTGTATTGGGTAAGAAGTAGAGTGGCGAGTAGGAGATCACGTAAGCACATAAGGAGTGAGACAAGCTACAGCATAAAGATGGGGGTAGTTGAGAGGAATGAGGAGCCAGCAAAGGAGATTAAAAAGGAGCAGTCATTAGGAGAATCGAGGGAGGAGTCAACAAGGTCACCTGAGAATGGTGAACTTGAGACTAGGGGTTTGAGTGGTGGGGAGGAATCAGTGCTAACAGACGCACATCACCTATGAAATGTCATTACGTAAGTACATGGTTTTTGGTGTACGTATGTCTGCTTATGCAATAGGTGTGACAATTCATATTTGAATCAATAAGCATTCTAAACATCTTAAGTCACTAATAAAAATGGTTTTGATGTAAATTCTATCTTTATGAACTGCAAAGAGGAGTCCCTGGGTGGCACAAATGGTTAAAGTGCTGG